ACGTGTTTGTGATGTATCTGTGGTATATACAGTCAAGTGTCTTCATAATAGTGTTTACAATGTGGCAGAATAGTTGGCGCTCAAAAATTTAACTAAACTTTACAAAAGGCTAGTAGTGATACAGCAAAATGTAGTGACATAAAAATAATTACATATACAGTACTTAAGGATTACAGTATTTCAAACATTACGTGGTATGATAATGCTGATTTGGGGACATGACTACTACTACTAAATATTGGAACAATATGCTATGCAGGAAAAACAGCATAGTATAATAAAGCAGCAATTTGGAGATGTAGTCAAAATGCACTACAATTGGCTAATGTTTGCACTTCCAGCTTGTAACTTATGTGTGGAAAGGTAAAGAATATTTGTCTTTTATTTGACCTTTGGACTAAAAAGGATCGCAGTTAATGGAAAAATTACTCTGCTGAAAATAATTAAATGAAATAATGAAAATAATACTATTTTCTTCTAGCGTATTTTGGCATCTTGTATTCAAGTAATGGCAAGACCAAAACCAGTGTTTGGATAAGTACTGGAAGTGATTAGTTAAACAATACTGAACCCCAGAGAGTGAGAGACACTGACACAGACAACATACAGTGTTTCATTTAATCACATGCAAATGTAAGATACAAGACAAGAGACAAGCATAATAAACACAAACAGTGCATAGAGGGGAGAGGGAGACATTTTACACGAGGGTGAACTACATTTATTTTACCTTGCGAGCAATGTGTCCATTGCTGAGGCTGTTTAAGTGCCTGAGAAGATAAATCAAACACACCTTAACTAGGTCAGACATTTCAACACATTCAAAATAGATGAATCTGTTCCTCCCTTTCTGCTCGGGTCTGTGTATTTTTACTGAATACTGACTGAAGCCTTGGTGAAGTCAGTTAGGTCTTCTCTTTCTCTAGCTTTAAATATTTCTGCACTTCCTTAAACATAAGTAAACCATTAGATCACAGGTTTTAGATTTATTAAAGATATTTATGTCCAAACTTTAATTTAAACATTTTAAATAACTTTCATTTCATACTTGGTTGTCTTACTTTTCAGCCATGATATGCTACTTTCACCACATCTGCTTTTAAATAATTCATTTTCTGTTTTTTTTCGGTTTATACTTCCAATCATAAGTTTTAGAAGTGTAAAGAACATTTCCATCTTTTTGTTGATCTTAGATTTTAATTCCATGTGGATTCTGTTTGTTTTTTTAACTTCAAATACCCAGTCCAAGTGTTTCTCTTTAACACTGCGCCATTCAGTTATATTATATCACCATATAGCATTAGCTATGTTCAGAAAGGCAACAAAAAAGGGGATCAAAACATGCACTGGATATTTACTATCAGAGACTTGTGGGGTGCACATTGAGTCCACTACTGGTTGAGTGACTTAGTTATTGGCTGACTTTATATTATTAACCAATTTGTTACTGTCACTTTTTCATTGTTGCTAAATTAATCTGGTCATCAGCTGTTCTTGTTTTGTCAGTAAGTACTTTTGTACTTCATGCCAATAAAGCATGAGAGAGCGTGATGTGAGAGATAGAAAGAATGAAAAGACATAGAGAAAGGGAGAGAGAGAGAGAGATGAAGGCACGTGTGTGTGTGTGAGAAGTCCCTTACGGCAGAGGATCCCCTGCTCTTTCATATCTCACCAAGCGTGACTAACGCCTGGCTTTACTCTGACACACACACACACGCAGATACAAACTAACACATAGACATGGACTAGGATGCTGAATGTGCTACCAATATAGTCACGTTTCTCTGGCTACGCAAGCCTGGCTGACACACTAACACATGACAGCAACAGTGTGCACACGTGTGAGTCTCTGTGTGTGTTTGTGTGTGTGTATGTGTGTGAGAGAGAGAGAGAGTGTTCAGCAGGCTATCTGCAGGCACAGTCCTGATTAGGAGCTCTCGGGTCTTGCTAGTCGAGCAAGCAGAAACGCACACACACACATACACAGACACACTGTGAGGTAGAAACAGACATATTTGGTGTCTCTGTCCAGTCATGCGTTAATTTATTCAGAAGTGCTCTTGTGCCATGTGAAAATCAAACGCCAAATATAGGATTATGGCTGACTGTGTGTGTGTGTGTGTGTGTGTGTGTGTGTGTGTGTGTGTTCCTGTGCATGCATGTGAGTGCAGAGGGCAGTAGCAGCAGTGTTTTGACAACAGTGTGAGCCAAGGTCTCTTCAGGGTCTTAGTGCCTGGCTGTTCAATTGCTGCTTTTAAGATTTTTTTGAGGCATTTTGGACTAATTAGCGAGTCGACAGTGAATGAGAGGATCAGAGCGGGACGTGGAGAGGAAATGAAATTTGCTGAAGGTCATGAGATGGGTTCAGATCAGTTCATTTTGTTAGAGCAGTGTTTACTCCCAATCAGTCTAAATGAGGTTAAAGTATGCAGCAGGGGGAGAGCGCACATAGCCATGTCTATTTGGATTTGCAGGAATTAGCTGATACTATTCTGCACAGAAGTGCTCTCCTGTGCAAAGCAGCCTCCCACTCCCCGCCTCAAAACACAATTTCTAGAATAGATTTAGCATTTAGTCGTTGACCAAGATGACACTCGGCTGCACTGTAGGGTCAAATGCAGTGCTTTAATGTTTCCCTGATCTTGCTCTGATAAGTCACTAGGCTTGCTATCAGTAGTTAAATCATGAGTTTGAAAACATCATGGATTGATCACACATCTTGAATCAACGGGTGTAAAGTCTTTTGAATCAATGATACTTCAGATTTGTTACTAAATAACTCACAAGAGAAATACCAATAACAGTGTTTTTTTTAAACATCTAAATTCTCTCTTGGGAAACAAGTTTAATTAAGACTGTGGCTATGTAGTTACTGATTTAGAGACACAGGGGGGAGCTGTATAATAAGTCACACAGGCACACTTGTTTTTGTAGTTCATTAGGACATTGATTGATTTATATTCATTCCCTGGGAGGTTGTGCTAACCATAACCAGTACCGCTACATGCATAATAATTCCTAACCCCAATCTAATTCTAACTTATTTACCTTAAACTAAAAAGGTTAACCTTACACTGAGTTGTTTCAAGCTGTAAAAAGTACATGTATCTCTTCTTTCCCCTCATGTACATAATCATACAATAAAGTAATATGACTGACTTCCTGATTCACCTGATCAGTATGTGAGAAAGTAATGATGTAATTGTTGCTTATTGCAAAATGTAATGAAAATGTCCTTGTAAAACCTGACATTGCAATAGTTTTTTTGATACTAAACCAACTAGAAACTATTACATCACAGGAGCTGCAACATAAAGATTAAATTATACAGCAACATATTGTATAATGTGTCAGGCGTTTTTAGATTCATAGACACTGACTACGGAAAAACTAAAGAAATGCAGAAAAAGGCACCTGATGCAACTGATTACATATAATGTGAAAGGTGCAAAAAATAAAACAAATAGAAATGTACAAAAAAAGAAAGCACTTTTGTCAAAGAGATGATTTCCCTTTATGACGCTTAGTTTTCCTCATGTATTTTGTGTGCCATTTCCTTTCTGTTTGACATTGCTAAAAATTGCTACAGCACTTGTTTTGACATCTCTAGGCTTGTATACTTAATGATGTAAATTACTCTCAACTGGTGTATCTCTCCATATAAGTGTTAAGCTTTGGTAGAATGAGGTTGACGTGCAATTAGCAACCAAATAGTCTTATCATGCGAGTGCTGCAAATCCTTAAAATGAGCTTTTTAAAATGTACGTTTACACTTTCATTTGGAGTTAAGTGTCCCTTTAACCTTGGGTTAAAATCGAGCTGTGAGTCCAATACCTGAAATATACTGAATAAGTAACTAGATTCTACTTAGATTGGTAGTTTTGTGGCTGCATTATATTAGCTGTGTGTCTTGAAATTACACTTTTATCTTGGTGCTGATATGATCAGAGAATCAACAATCCCATTTGTCTCGAAGCTTTAAAAATCCTCTTCAAATTCATCTGCTTCTCTTTATCAGTATCCCCTCTTCTGATTGGAACACATTTAAAAGGAAACATTAATGAGGGATTAGAGGATTTTACCTGCATCAGTGTACTTGCTGGAAGGAGTGAGTGAACCGAGAGGGGCCGTCCTCTCAGCTGCTCAGCTGGCTAAGTTGCACACCATGTAACCACAATGTCGCAGATTAAAAACTAGCTTAAGAAGACCCTCCCTCCTCAGCTTCACAAACTCTCTCCACTGTACTCTGTCCAGTAAAGCAGAAAAAAAACATAAAATCATTCTTTCACAAAGATGAAGAGAAGCAAGGGGTGAGTGCGTGAGAATGGGGAATGAGACGAGGGAGAGGAAATAGTGAGACTTACTGTAGTGCGAGTCTAAGATGTGGAAAGGAAAGCGACATGATGAAGGTATAGAAAGATGAGGAGGCAAGAAAGACGCACCAATTCCCTGAGGCAGGCTTGTCTCCCGCTCACTGTCCTCATTCAGCTTTGTGTCTCATTTTGCCTAAAAACTTCTGTTTCAAGTCTAGTGCGTGCGTGCGTGCGTGCGTGCGTGCGTGCGTGCGTGCGTGCGTGCGTGCGTGCGTGCGTGCTTGTGTGTGTGCATTCACATACGTACAATACAGGAAGCTCAGGAAACAATTACTACCATGCTGAGTGTACACCTGGACTGCCCCATGCACTTACACACAAAAACTGACCTATAAAAACAACTCATTACACACATGCATGTGTGTACTCACACTCATACATGAACATACACACTCTGCTATGCTCTTTTATGGTGGTTAAACAGCTTGACTAAATCTTTTCTACTTCTGAACTAACCACTGACTTTTTCTGACTTTTTTTCCCTCTGCTTCCTATACCTCGTCTTCCCAACCACCTCTGTCCTCTTTGTCCGTGCCACTCCCTCTGTCTGGTTTCTTTCTTGGTCTGCCTTCCTCTTGTTTACCATCTGGTTTCCTCCCCTTTCCTTCTCCTCCTTTTTCACTATAGAAGTATCGGTATCAAGAAGAGGAAGGGGCGTCACCAGGTGCCCCAAAACTTCACCAACACCCCTGCCATCAGCACCCGATGGGAGTAGCCAGAGAGCTAAGAGACGGAGGGACCCTGGGGAGGGAGGGCAGGGAGGAGAGAGAGGGGGGGACCTGGAGGAGAGAGGGAGGGGGAGCCGGGACCATGGAAAGAGAAAGGGAACGATCACTTGGGAGGGACGGATCTCTCAGCCGCCGCGGTGACCTGCGGGGTGCGGAGCTGGTTCAGGTGGCGGAGCGGCAGTTATCTCAGATTCAACACGTTCACGGATACGTTACTCACACACACATCACGCCTGCACAGGTAACTGTATACATCAGTATGCCAGACACACACACGGCTTGCATATTGTTCTGACATTGTCAATCTGTTCCGCATTACATCTGCTAGGTAAAACTGTCTACGTGTCTGTCTCTGTTTTAGAAACACACACACAGCTCAAGGCTTACATTGTGATCACCCAAGAGATTACCGGCCTGTCTGTCAATCATTACGTCTAAAAAACTCTTGTGACAAATGATGTATATTTTAAGTTTTTTTTATCACACGTAAATGTTTATGTTCAACAGCCCAGTTTTCCTGCTGTGTTTTACAATATCTTAATATTGTAAACAACCTTTTACCAGCAGAAGAATATAACAACTTCATTTTTGGTCTAGTGTTAATCTCTGTCACTCAATTTGGGAGTGAGGGTATGTTCCAATCCCAACCCTTTTTACATTAATACTAATTTGTTTTGCCCATTGCGAGGGAAATGTGATGTTGCCTGGATTATGTTGGGGGGAACAGACAAGGTGCAGGACTTTGCTACAAGACACTTCTCATCCCGTGTGTCATTATGTTTAGGCAAACAAAAGCAATTTGGTTAAGTTAAGGGAAATATTGTGGTTGTGGTTATATATTAATAAGGTAAACTTGCTATTTCTTGTGCTTGTGCGTCACTGTTAACTATGGATATATTTAAGACAAGACCAATACCATAATCTTTCCCTAACTTTACTAAAGTGCTGAACAAAACCATGAAATAGTCTGCTCTAAAAAAAATTATGCTTTATTTGCTATGAGCAGATATTTTATTGCAGGAGTAGAAAATGTAGGAAAACAAATGAAATTCATTAAGACTGAACATTTTACTGATGCTTACAGTATGAATAGTTTGCAATTTGGCAGGTACGTTCATTAACAATGGTTAATGTGTTGATAAAAATGTAATTTGGGCAGCATTACATTTCCTTAAAAATGTATGTGTTGCAAATACTAGTAGTGTATAATCATAATTTCTAGGAGACAGGGTTGCCAATCGTTTGTTTACATTTTTTTATTGTAGGGATACTCTTTTGTTTGTAGTATGATCATGAACTTCCCTTTAAATTGAACGACTATACAATTCTTTGTGAAACTTTTAAGTTTGAAACCTGTTTTGAACGCCACTGGATAAATTGCAAAATTATAATGCAGTCAAGCTTAAATTAAGCCTCTTTGTCATAGTCCCTGAAAAGATGAGATGTTAGAGATAAGAGTTTGTGTCAGCTGCAGTGATATGCTTAATGTCTATTGTGAAGTAATTTATTCAGATGCTATCAGGTCTAATATCAGGCCTAATGTCATCAACTTTCGTTTTTGAAGCAAGTGCTTCATGTGGTTTTGGTCAAGGTGGCAGCGGCGCCTCCTTTTTAAGTTCAAGTGCAGTCAGAAGCAGAGGGACCAGTTTCAATATGGCTGCAGAATTAGTTTTTTTTAAAGTACTTAGAAGTCAAGGATACTGGCCTAAATTTTCCTCCATGCACAGAGCCTTTCTTTGTACCAGGAGAATACTTTTGCGGAACTGCGCATGCAGGGATCCAGTCGAAGGCTTGTCCCATTTTTTAGTAATGAGGCCCATTACTTTCTCTGTTCTGCACTCGGTCTGTGTCTGTCTGGCTCCCTTTCTCTTTGGCCCCCCCGCATCTCACACACACTCATAATCTCACAGCGTAGCCGGGTAATCTTTTTATTTTGGTTGATTGGGCTGTATCTGTCTGCAGATTATTGCTTACATCACTGTACTTTTACAGCTCCGACCACACACAGACACACACACATATTCCCGAACATGCACACACACCTCATTATTCTCCATAATGTGTGTTATCTTTTGTAGATCCTCTATTTTACAGTACTTTGGACTGTGATGTTTTTTTGGTGTCTGGTAAATCATAATTGTGGTCTTTTACAATATATGTGAGATCTAACAAAAGTAGGCCTGTAGTCCATTGAAATTACATATGCAAATTAAGAATATGAAGTAACTTGCCACCCTGTTGAATTACATGGTAGTAAAGAACGTGATCAAAGTACCATTAACACAGTGGTTTTTCCTCTGGATTCTCTGTCATTCTTTCAAGCAAAACCTAATTTTTTTCAAGCCACAAGAGGCTTAACAGTGATTTTTAAAACAGCTGACAGACATTTAAAAATAAGATTTAAAATGGCTAAGGCTTCCTCTGTTCCTTTAATTACTCTATTTATTGTCTCATTACTGTCATTTTCTATATGTCTTCTTTGTATCATCCCCTGCTGATTCTTCATCCTTTCTAAATTCTGGCATGAGTGATTATCAGTTAGTGTATTATTTTATTTTAATATTTGTTATTTATATTAACAACTCTTACGTTGTCAGTAGTAGTATGAGAGAGTGTTTGTGTGTATGTGTGTGTGTGTGTGTGTGTATTAGGTAAGTTACAACAGCCTTAAGCATGCTACAGGCAGTCAGAGCTGATGAGTATGTGTATTAGTGGTGTGTCATTATACACTGTCATTCGTTTGTCTCTGCACTGACTCAGTCACCACGATGTTCAAAGTTTGGAAAAGTCTCAGACATAACTGAATCAGTTCATTTTGTCACTTTGGGGAAGGAAATGTTGGTGTTTAGCTCCACCTTGTGGTTGGATATCACCTGTGCATCACTTCATGTAAGACATGTAAGGCCATCCACTTATTGATGATATATGGAATGATTTGTTTATCTTTTTTCCATCCATCCATCAGTGTGGTCTGTTTATTGTACGACAGCAATGTACAGTAAATTTGTATTGTCTTTGGAAATTCAGCAGAAGAGATTAAGGCTGTAGTCCTTATTGGTTGCCATCTGTACCCAACCACACTCACTAATGAGCACTTAGGTTCATCTTCACCATCACTGTCATCATCATCAGCCTCACAACACGCTTTACAAACAGATCCATTTCAGCTGATCTTCACCTGTCTAACTATATAAAATCTGTGATGTGTGTATGTGGTGAATGTGTGTGTTACTGATGGTGTGTTTGGGTATTAAGGTTATTTTGAGAACTCCTCCTTCCCAAATGTTGTGTGTGCGTGCATGTGTGTTTATGAATGCGCATGACCACAGGTGCTGGATCTGGCTTAGCTTCTGTATGACAGATGGACCCGCCACCTTGTTCTCCCCATGTACATGTTCTCTTCTCTTCCTCTCTCTCTCTCTTTCTCTCTTTTGCACATGCACGCATGCACACTCACACACACACACACACACTTTCTCCTTCCTGCTCTCTGTAACTTTTCTTAAGTGCACATTTGTATTACATATACACATATAAATAACCAAATGATGTGTGCATATATCCTATAACATATTGTGTTGTGATGTAACAAATCAGATACATATATTGTATATGTGTATATGAAGCCTTAATACTGTACTGAAAACTTATTTTCTTCCTCCTCATCTACTCTGCCCTACAAAGCCAACAAAGTAACACAATGCCGTCACAGCTAGCTTTAGCTAAAGCTAATTTACACCTTTTCCGACCTGTTTCCTGTAATGCTAATCTATTTTGATGCACCAACATCTCAACAATTGTTTGTTAAACCACGTTCAGTATATACATAAGGCAGTAGATAAATCCAGCTATAACAAAGGAAAAAAGTAACACCAGACAAATCACTCCTGCTAAAAGATGCCCTTTGGAGTGTCCAAACACAGATCATCTGATTTTATCTAATAATTACTTTTTTCTTTTGTACAAACTAACTAACTAAATAAAAATAAATACTGACTTGACTGTTTTGCCTATAAAGTCATAATATTAATGGTACAGCTTATATAGCTGTTACACACTTTGGTAAGTAGCCTTAAAACTTCAAACCGCATTTTCTCAACTTCACTGTTTCTGTAGTTACCACTGTCTGCCTTTGTAAGGCAGTACTGGTCAATATGTTATTATCTGAATATATTAGTAAGATATGGCCTTTCATCATCAGTGTCCTCCTGCTCAGCCTGAATCAAAGACTTGAAATATAGAGTTGTATTGGATAACAACAAGACAAATAATCAGACTGCAGTGCAACTTACATATTAGTGTGTGTGCCACAGTCTTCGTGTGAGTGTGTGTTGCACCATGCTGAGCTCTGTCTGTACATCGTAGGTAGAATCTCCTGAGGTTCCCTTTGATGACGAGGCATGGCCTCACCCAGAGGGAGAGAGGCTGAACGAAGTCCCTGCCCCGCCTTTCTCTTCCCTCTATTCACAAAGCCACGCCTACTACCAGGTAACCTCGCCTCTGAGCCCATCGCATGTGTTCATAGCTTTGTTCATTTGTGACATGATGTTGTTTCTCATCTTTGAAGTTCAGGTCATATCAGCATGCAGTTCCTTCTTTACGCTTTACGCTATTCATTCGTTTCTTGTGTTTCATTAGACAGTTCTGCATATTGCCCAAGATTCTTGAATCTGTGGCACCTCACAGAAACATTTTAAGTGTGTACACGTAGCATTTTAACACCTATAAATTGCTGATAAGACAGACAACCTTAGTAAGCCATGCTCCCTTTGCGCCAATGCAACTAAAGTGCCAGAGGTCTCAGTGGCAGATGGTGTAAGGGATTGAAACTGAAGGAAAAATAACATCCAACATGTTCATTAACAAGTGTCATTCAAAAATCTGCCATAGAGGTGCAATTGTTTATGGTTACCTATGCTGATACTTAAAAAAATGCTACATGTAGCATCTTTAGGAGACCGGTTGTGCAGCATGCTCACTCTTTGCTTATTTATAAATAATTTGACAGGCAGTACATCCATTTCCCCATAACCTCCTGTACCGCACTAATCTCCTGAAGCCAAAACCAAAACACAGCAATAATGCTCTTGTATCTGCTTGTTTTGGCATACTAATGCTGTTATTTGTTTGTCTGACGTGACAGTTTGTGCCTTTTTGTACTGTGCACATGATCTGAAATGGATGTAATGTGGGGGATAACACAAGGAAGAGACCTGCATGCAATCCCATCTTCACTTAATACTGAATATAAGTCTTTTCTTGGTTAGTATAAAGACAAGAGAAAGTGAATACAAGTTGTAAGAGAACTGTGGCATTTTCCCGGTTAGTTTAGATGTACAGGTGCTGGTCATATAATTAGAATATCATCAAAAAGTTGATTTATTTCAGTAATTCCATTCAAAAAGTGAAACTTGTATAATGTATACATTCATTCCACACAGACTGATATATTTCAGTTCATTCCTTTTAATTTTGATAATTATAACTGACAACTAATGAAAACCCCCAAATCAGTATCTCAGAAAATTTTAATATTGTGAAAAAGTTCAATATTGAAGACACCTGGTGCCACACTCTAATCAGCTAATTAACGCAAAGGCCTTTAAATGGTCTCTCAGTCTAGTTCTGTAGGCTACACAATCATGGGGAAGACTGCTGACTTGACAGCTGTCCAAAAGATGACCATTGACACCTTGCACAAGGAGGGCAAGACACAAAAGGTCATTGCTAAAGAGGCTGGCTGTTCACAGAGCTCTGTGTCCAAGCACATTAATAGAGAGGCGAAGGGAAGGAAAAGATGTGGTAGAAAAAAGTGTACAAGCAATAGGAATAACTGCACCCTGGAGAGGATTGTGAAACAAAACCCATTCAAAAATGTGGGGGAGATTCGCAAAGAGTGGACTGCAGCTGGAGTCAGTGCTTCAAGAACCACCACGCACAGACGTATGCAAGACATGGGTTTCAGCTGTCGCATTCCTTGTGTCAAGCCACTCTTGAACAAGACAGCATCTGACGCGTCTCGCCTGGGCTAAAGACAAAAAGGACTGGACTGCTGCTGAGTGGTCCAAAGTTATGTTCTCTGATGAAAGTAAATTTTGCATTTGGAAATCAAGGTCCCAGAGTCTGGAGGAAGAGAGGAGAGGCCAGAATCCACGTTGCTTGAAGTCCAGTGTAAAGTTTCCACAGTCAGTGATGGTTTGGGGTGCCATGTCATCTGCTGGTGTTGGTCCACTGTGTTTTCAGAGGTCCGAGGTCAACGCAGCCGTCTACCAGGAAGTTTTAGAGCACTTCATGCTTCCTGCTGCTGACCAACTTTATGGAGATGCAGATTTCATTTTCCAACAGGACTTGGCACCTGCACACAGTCCCAAAGCTACCAGTACCTGGTTTAAGGACCATGGTATCCCTGTTCTTAAAAGGCCAGCCAACTCGCCTGACCTTAACCCTATAAAAAATCTATGGGGTATTGTGAAGAGGAAGATGCAATACGCCAGACCCAACAATGCAGGAGACCTGAAGGCCACTATCAGAGCAACCTGGGCTCTCATAACACCTGAGCAGTGCCACAGACTGATCGACTCCATGCTACGCCGCATTGCTGCAGTAATTCAGGCAAAAGGAGCCCCAACTAAGTATTGAGTGCTGTACATGCTCATACTTTTCATGTTCATACTTTTCATGTTCATACTTTTCAGTTGGCCAACATTTCTAAAAATCCTTTTTTTGTATTGGTCTTAAGTAATATTCTAATTTTCGGGGAGATACTGAATTTGGGAATTTCATTGGTTGTCAGCTTTAATCATCACAATTAAATGAAATAAACATTTGAAATATATCAGTCTGTGTGTAATGAATGAATATAATATCCAAGTTTCACTTTTTGAATGGAATTACTGAAATAAATCAACTTTTTGATGATATTCTTATTATATGACCAGCACCTGTAGTTGCAGCTTGTAAACTGCAAGAGGCAGTAGAGGCAGAGGATCAACCACCATAGTGTGAAGTGCATTCACAAATCAAGACCTGACTGAACTGAATTAATCAAACTGTTTAATAGCAAGCATTATGGTTAAATTAAATGACTGACCATTGGTGGTTAAGAGGCTCAATAAATGCAGTTGCACGGTGTGTTTTTGTTTCAGTATTGATTATCGTGTTAGACAGTTTAAGGTAGACGTAAAGTGGAAATGTAAATCTACAGTGCAGCAGTATAATTGACTTTGCTTAAATAACTCCACTGACAATCTACTGCAGAGACTGAATGAGGAGAAACAGTGAAAAGTCGCTTGCTGTCTTTCTATAACACAGGAACTCTAAGACACACATAGACCTTAGTAGCTCTTCATTAAGCTAATGCAGATAATCAGGAAGGAAGGAAAGACAGAGAGGGCCAGAGAATGGGATGAAGAGAGAATTACAGGCAGACAGACAGAGCGCAGATTTGTTGTTGGATGTTAATCAACCTGTCAAATCACTATTCCCCAATGAATCTCTTTTCCCTCCTGCTGATACAGTAATAGAAATTAGGAATCAGTAAGACCTTTACACTGAACTTATTGTAGTGTTTACCAAGTGTATATTGAATCCCGCCTCAGTATAGAGGTCCAGACAAACAAACCAGCTACTACAAACAAAAAAATTCTATTTTTAACAGTTCTCCTTGATTTTGATTGTCTTTAAAAAGCTTTGTCTAGATTATTTTGTCTACCTTTAGGGAGAGATGTGGCTTGCCTTGACTGACTTTAACCCACTGTTTGGCTCACCCAAGTTTTGTTTAATAAAACAACAGTATTGAAATTAGCCTCACCTTCAACCTCACCCTTGAGATGCTTATAGTTATGCAAATATATGGAGGTAAAATATGCATGCTTCCATATGTTGTTAACCCTAAAGTAGGGCACTTGTCATGTCGTCTCACCTCGTCGTTGTTGGTATCCAGCCATCAAACACAGTGAAATTTCATCAACCAACAAGGTCACTTAACTGGGAACATTTTCTTTATTTGAATTATCAGAGTACAGGTGTGACCTGAGAAGACCATTAAACTTTCTCTAAAGCAGTGTGAAAAATTTAGCCATTGTAAATGTTCCAGCGTGTATTTGATACTTTACCAGAGAGATAGGTTATATAAACAATAAATTAATTTAAAGGGTTTAATGTTTCAGCTTTTTATTAAAACATAACATAAAATAGGCTGATGCTAATAGCAAGATATTTCATGGTGAACTTGTTATCAAGCAGTTGCCTGTTTATGCCTTGAGCAGAGCAACATTATCTTTCATTTAGAGTTCTAAGTTTGGCCACCCACTATTGACTCTCCTTTTAGCTCTGTTTTGATCTCTATCAACTCATGAGTAAAATGTCTGTCTCTCTTTAGCTTCAAAACGCTCCACACAATTTACCAGCTAGTAGCTAACTCCTTTCTTCCGTTTGGTGCTGAGCAGTAGCAGCTGGTTTTAAGTGCTTTAACAGCAAAACAATGAGCTAAAACTCACTATAAACCTCTGTAGAAACTGAGTGGTGCTGCCGAGTTTGATGGCAACTTCCTGTGAGTTCAACACTACAAGTGACCCCTTTCACAATTACAAAAGTAATTTGATCTAATATCATTAAAAATATTGATCGTAGCTGCTTTAAATCCATCCATCCATCCATCCATCGTCAACTGCTTATCCAGCGTACAGGGTAAAGGGGGGGCTGGAGCCAGTCCCAGCTGACATTGGGCGAAACGCGAGTTACACTCTGGACAGGTCGCCAGTCCATCGCAGGGCCACCCAAAGACAAACAACCATTCACACTCACATTCACACCCTGCTTTAAATCACAAAGTGCAAATAATAACTTGTGCTGCCCCCTACCCCAAACATAATCTGAGAGGCTTAATATTTATCCTGGCCTATTGGGATTCTCCTTTTGCTTGAGATGTTGTTTTGTTTGCTCTGCAGTGATTTATGTCTATTTCTCTATATCCCCAGTATTTACCAGGGGAGCCGGACATAGCTATTCAAAATGGTCCTTACCAGAATGTGAAAGGGATCTAATGGAAGGGCTGGGGGGGAGCCAAAATGGTTAGGAACCAATGGAATAGACCGCAGTATAGATCTGCAAGACAGTGCTTCTAGCTGCATCAGCGTCTCTTTATGGTTGTTGACAACACAAAGCTGATATTCATTACAATTTTATTGAGGGATATGTTCAAGTTAAATGCAAGCTAACAGAATGTGACAGGACAACAAAAGTACAAATTGTCTTTTGGCTGGCCACCGAAAAGTGCTTGTTTACCAAATTTGTTGATACAGATTTTATTACTTCACAATATTATAAAGCATTAGCAGTTCTTATATAAGTACAGTCACTGCTAAAATCAGTAGAGATGAAGCCTCAAGTCTGTATTATGGCCAAACATACATAACTGCATTGTTACTGGGTTACTGTGTCAACAGGGTCAGACTGTCTAAAGCCTACCGAGCTGGGACCCAAAATAG